GAAAAAGCCGGAAGTGACATTCATATATACACAGTTTATTGAGAATTGATTTGAAGGCAAGATGCTTTCACAGTAATTATATTATTTCTCTGTAAAAAGAATCTGACCATGCACATTAATGTGAAGGATAAAAAGACAGCTGAACATTATTATAGAATTGAATACAACACCATGAACAAATCATTCACAAATGATGTTGGTTCAACATCTTTGATACAGTGTAAGACAGTTTAATGTTTCAGAAGACTGTCAAGGATACAAGACTCTTATACTGGATTTCAGTGTAGAGCGGTGCCTGGTTTTTGTTGTCTTCTCCTGGGTTAAATGAAATACCAGTGTTGATACCAATTTTTCCGATGAAGGCTGGTGTAGCTCTCCTTCCTGTTGAGCTGTTTGTGATGGAGTTCAGAGTGAATGAGGAGGTGCACGAAGCGCACTGGTACTCCTCCAAGAGAAACATCATCTATCAGTTATACATCTGTTTAACCTCCAGAGATCTTTTGTAAGTCTCGATAGACACATCAAAAGTTAAGCTATTATAGCTTATAGTTAAATTCACTGGTTCCAGTTTCTCAAATATGAATGTTTTCTGGTTCTGTTACTTGTATATAATAGTTAGCTAAATATGTTTGGGTGTTAGATTGCTGCTAAGACAAAATGAGACACCTGAAAATGTCACTTTGTGTCCTGGACATTTGTGAGTTTGAGAGTTTTCACTATTAAGATTGATTATGATGATAGATAATGAAAACACCCTGTGGAAATAGCCCCACATCGATAAGTAGCTGCATACTGAACATAATGTCAGGGCAGAAAGAATATTTAAAAGACATTAAAAGTTTATATACAACTGTAATTTACATGGCCAGGTTACCTTTACTACAGTCATGATATGCACATGCATATGTTCTGTAAATATTGTCATACCTGCACGATGAAGTGAATGTGAAAGCTGGACTTCCTGGTGATAGAGGGTTATTATCCTGTAAACAACATCCAGCTCCTTCAGCCTGTTTATCAGCCAACAAACACTTCAAATATGTTTTGTCTTGCAGCATTTTGAAATATCAGCCACTGATCCATTCAGCTACAAGGAGGATGAGTGGTCTTCATAGATCCTGCATGGTGACCTCAGCTCAGCAGGGAGCCAGTGTCAATGGTCTGCCGCACCTGGTCAGTTGTCACCAGGAAAGACCATTAACAACTATTCATGGCTTAAACTAATCCCATCAGCCCCCTAAACCTGAGCTTAGAGAAAGACAGCTGACGGTATGTGGCATCAGGAGAGATTTTCAAAGAAAAAATGCCAGATAAATAAATTGGGCGAGAGGTGGGGTCCACCCTGGACAGGTTACCAGTCTATCACGGGCTGGTATACAGCATCATGACCTCTCAGCCGTTCATCACCTTAACAGTTAATTTCAGAAATAATTCATCTGTAGGACAAACACATATTCCATATTGTCCCACATTGGGATCTGCTTTTACAGCATGTTCGCACCACACGTGGAAAATACTCAGTGTTGTTTTATATAATGAGCATAAGCAACATTTACCAGTGGTGGAAAGTAACTAAGTACATTTAGTCAAGTACTGTACTTAAGTACAATTTTGAGGTCTTTGTACTTTGTACTTCCATTTTCTGCTACTTCAGACTTCACATTTCAGAAGCAAATGTACTTTTTGCTACATTTATTTGCTAACTTTAGTAACTTCTTTGCAGATTAAGATTAATAATACAAACTATACTGTCATCCCCAGTGGAAGTTCTCAAGCTGCATGCCACAGTATGTAAACTAATTCAGATTATATTATGTAGATTCAAAACACATGATCAGCCAACCAGAATATCAGCCAACTTTCCTTTTAGTTTCTAAAACTCAACTAGAGCCATTTTCTACACTTTGAAGTTACTCATCCCACTCGCATGTGACTACTTAAAAGGTAAGGCTGCTAGAGAAGCCTGCAGATTCTGTTCTCCTGTGAGTATGATGATTACATATGGATCCAAAAAGTACTGTTTGCATTCTGTGAAAAATAACCACTTAGTTTGGGTGACCCCACTCTCTTGGTTACATTGTCAAAACAAACATTTTGCAAAGGAAGCTCTTTATCTCAGGCAAATAATCTGGGTGCTGCTCCAAACATATGAGCTCCCAGTGTAGTGTTGGCGTTTGGGTTTCCTAATGACACGCTTCCACATGCCAACATGGGATTCTTTGAATTCTGTGAGTGGATGGGGCTTGTTGTCCTGAATGGCCCCAGAAGAACTGGGCTACCCTTCAGTTGGATCCCGTTAGGCAGAACATAGGACAGTGATTGGATGAGGCTGTGGGATGACATGTTCTCCTTCATTAGCTAATGCCATTCTCACCAGCGATCCACATCCCGTTAGCACGGGCTACTGTCCTGTCCAGGAACAACCATGAACCATTATCCTTTATAGCCCTCATTAGACAACTTAAAGCAGCAGCTTTAACAGCTACACTGACTCATTTTATTAACAGCTATTGTTCTACTATCTTAAATTCCTAATTTCACAGTGGCCTGTTACAAATGACTGTGGGCTAGCTGTGCCATTATCAGATCATTTAACAGTTAATTATCAGCTTGGGTATCAACCTCAGAAATTCAGTATTGCTCAGACTGTACATGAACAGAAAATGTGAAGGTCACAGCGGCTTCATGATGATCCTCAATCTGTTGAATGATTACACAAATACTGTGCAGTAAGAAAAGAATTGTTGCTCTCCCTCTGCAGGTCCCCACAGTGCTATGGTTAAAACCAGTTCAGCCTCGAAGGGCTCCACTGTTCCCTGTAAGTACTTTTTAAAGATTTGATAAAGTTTTCTTTGTACTGACATTATGTGTATCCACTTATTGTTGTGCCTCACTGATAATGGATCACGTACATACTATCTGTGTAGTATGAGTATTTGGGCAAGGATACAATTTTTGTAATTTTTCCTCTGTACATTCCCTCAGTGCAGTCTTTTGGCTTTAATTCAGAGTTTTATGAAACATTTAGGAATTACAGCCATTTATATACATGGTCCTCCATTTTCAGAAGCTCAAATGTGTTTGGAAAAACTCACATAAAAAATATATGTAATCGTTATTTTTTAATACTTGGAAGGAAATCCTCTGCAGTCAATGACTGCCTGCAGTCTGGAACCCATGGACATCAGATGCCGAGTTTCCTCCGTCTGAAATGCTTTGCCCAGGCCTTTATTGCCACTACCTTCAGTTGCTGCTTGCTTGTAGGCCTTCCTGCCTTTAGTTTTCAGTTGTGTTGAGATCAGATGACTGACTGGGACGTTGAAGAATATTCCATCTCTTTGCTTGAGAAGCTTTTGCTGTACAGTATGTTTTGGGTCATTGTCTGTAGTGTGAAGCACCGTCCTGTCACTTTTGCAGCATTTGGCTGAATCGGAGTATCTATGTACTTCAGATTTCATCTGGCTACTTCTATCAGCAGTCGCACCATCAATAAACACCAGTCATCCAGTTGCACTGGGAGCCACACATGGCCGTGCCACAACACTGCCTCCACCATGTGTGATGGATGAGGCGGTATGGTCTGTCCAGAGTCTTGTTCCAGAACTTGTGGCTTTTTCACATTTTCTGACAAGGTCTAATCTGGCCCTTGTGTTGATGAGTGTTACCATTGTTTTGCACCTTGAGATAAACTGTCTCTGTTTATATTTATGAAGGCGCCTCTTGGTTGTAGACTTTGACAATGATACGTCTACTTTCTTGAGACTGTTCTCAACTTGTGGAGATGTTGTGAAGTTTTTCTTCACCAAGGAAAGAATTCCACAATCATCCACTAATAGTCTTCAGTGGTCTTTCAGGCCTTTCTGTGTTTGAGCTCACCAGTGCATTCCTTCTTGTTCAGAATGTACCAAGTTGTTGATCTGGCTTATGATGGCCTTCACTTGCATCAGCACCTCTTTGGACTGCATACTCAGAATTTCAAGGAACAGCAGCCACATAAAACGTATACACTCGGAATCAACTCCAGACCTTGTATCTGCTCACTTTGTCAGGACATAACATAGGAACATGCCACACCAGGCCATGAAACTGCTTCTCAGTCAAAATGGCTGCAACAGTTAGTTTGATATTTTTGTGAAACCCCTTGGATTAAAGCTGAAAGCCAACACTTCAATAATATTTAGACTGATTCATTTCAAATTCACTGTAGTGGTGCACAAAGCAAAAATTCTGGAGCTGAAAAATAGTGAACTGTGAAAAAGTATTACATTATTTATATCAAAGAATTTTTTTTTTCTATGGAGCAAATAGTTAGATCTTTTACTGAAGTAAAAATAGGAATACCACAGTGTGGAAATCCTTCAAGTACCAGAAGTAAAGTACTCATTATGCAGAATGGCCCATTTTAGAATAAATGATATTACTGGATTAAACAGTAATTGCATTGTTGTGTTAATCACATTTAAATCAGCAGCTGATAAGTGGAGTGAATTTTCCTGTTTTATCTAAGCCTAGAATATATAATTTATTATATTTTGTACTGCTAATTAAAGTTGTCAAATACATGTAGTGCAGTAAGAAGTACAGTATTTAGGCCCACTTCTAAAGTGCATACATATCAGAATTAATATGCTCAAATATATGTACCTCCCAACTGTACTGGAGTAAATCTAAGTTACTTTTGCCACTGATTATTTGTAAAGTTAGCAGTGGTTTTCTAGAGTTGCAGTTATTGTGTAATGTTTTAGTGTAAAACCCCGAAGTATATGTAGTATAGTGAGGTACACTAAGACCTGATTAAGCTCTGTGTATAGTACATACTGCGTAGTTAGTGTGGAACTGGGAGACCAGGCAAGGACAGTTTAGTAAACGATAAAGCCAAGTTGCATTAGGGGATATCTCGCCCTCTGCTGTGTTGCTTTTAAAAATCTTAATATTAGCGCAGTATTAAATCACTAAATATTTACCTACTCAAAGCTTTGAAAAAGTCAACGCAAAGGCGATAAGGTAGATGCACTTTATTCCTAAAACAGAAGCTGCACCATCAGTAGCGGCACACAATTATATGTACACATATCCACACACAGTTACCTAAATCTGTTATATAAAATATATAATCTGACAATGTACCTTTTATTTTTTCCTCTTAAGAGCTCACTGAGTCACTGTGCGAGAGACCCCAGAGCCAAAGCAAACAGAGGGCCAAGTCTCATCCACTCATCGGGCGGGACTCAAACGCCCAGCCCAGCGTTTACTTCATTTTTACAGCATGGCAATAAAAAGGTCTGTACCCTTTGAAAAAATAACTTTCTAAAGGCAATCTACAGCAAATTCACTTGAACAGTTGTTCAATGTTGTAATTGAGAAAATTACACTTTTTAAACCAGTTCCTTTACAGTGAGATGTACACACCCTCTAGGATTTGTAATATACAAAAGATATTAAGCATTAAAAATTCCACATTTAAAAAGTTACAATAAATAATATATACAGGCATTTCTTTAAGATAAAATTTCATAAACTGCAATCTACAGTCATTAAAAAGAATTTATTTTCCTGTATGAAATGTCCCTTTATCTTCCAAAATGCTAAAATGGATTCTTGGCATTGGTTTGATTGACTGGAAACTTCCATTCAGTCAGTGGTGTGTGAGATGCACCAGGGAGGAGGGGTGCTTCCTCCACATTTGCCCTGATGGAGTGAGTGTGAGGTCCTTTGGGGGGAGAAGAGGGAATCCCTAATTCAGCTGAGTGACCCGTCCAGACCTCACCAGTTTGATCCCATCAGATTTCAGAGCATGTTCATGATGAAGTTGTACATGTGGGTGAGCACCACAAAGTGGACAGGCAGACAGGAGCGCCGGTCCTGGGTTGCAGGGTCGCAGGTCAGCCAGGAGAGGGCGTTGTATTGCTCCAGAACAAATCTGTCATGTGGGAGGCAGACACAAGCAGTGTTAAACACACATCATTACTGTAACACACAGATCTGATCTGAGCAGCGCACCTGAGCACATCAGAGGTGTGGTTTGAGTCCAGGGGGTGGGAGTGTTTACTATGCAGAAAGTCGTCTGACTGGACGGAGTTCACGTGCAGGTGCAGAGAGGCCTGGGAAAACAGAGGGAGACAGAAATTAGATCCGTTAGTCTTTTCTAACATCACCTCCAGTCTGAGTGCACTGGGTTTATTCTGCTGGTCAGACAAAAGGGGACACTTGAACATGTTACACTCGGCTTTAGGAAAGTAGGGTGGGCATTCTTCAATACACCTGGACATTTTATAGCCTTGAAATAATAAAATCTGCAACCAGCCAGGTAATCTACAAACCCCATTTCCAGAAAAGTTGGGACAATTTCCAAAATACAATAAAACGAAAACCTGTGATTTGTTAATTGACTTGAACCTTTAACTGACAAACTTGCAAAAAAGGTTTGTGGTGTTTTCACTGACCAACAACATATTTACTTAACCCTTATTTTATCAGGGGGTATTGCACAAAACCAAGACAAGGGACTAAGCAAACTGAATTTAGCCCCGACTCCGTTGCATGAAAGCAGGTTAAATTAAGTTGCAGCTAGCCCACTGTAAGTAATCACCTACTGTTCAGGAATTGACCTGGAGCCAATTCACATTTACATTAATATTAAATAGGCTGCGTTAAACAGAACACAGAAATAAAACCATGCTAATTATTAATAATAATGTCAAAGATATATCAGTCACCCAAACAGGCCTGTGCATTAAGCTCTATGTGTTGTGGATTTATCAAGTTTAGAAGTTGCTGACAGAACGAAGAACTATGTCACATAGCACCCGGATTCCACTGTTCGTAGAATGAACCATGTTTCCACATTGGATCGATTAGTGGCTGTAATTAATCTTCATGGTTTATTTTCTAAGTAACATATTGTTTCAATTGACACATTCAGTCGATCTGCTGCTGCTTGCCACACTTGTTTATGTGGTTTTATTACAGCGGCTTTGTTTCCATTTTCACACATTGTGTGTGTGAATTCCCCGTAAGCGTCCTAGAGTGGGCACGCTCAGTGGGTCTCGATATGCCGCACACATCTTCGATGGCTGTGGTAGCATGACTGTTTCTCATCCAGCGCCTCCTGAGGGCTCGAGGGTCACACACACAATTCAGTAGGTGGTTTTTGCCTTTACACACTGAGATTTCCACAGCTTCCCTGAATCTTTTCACAATATTTCACTGTTTAGATGATGAAAGACCTAACTTGTTTGCAATCTTGTTCTGAGAAACGTTTGTTTTGAACTGACAGTTCTCTCATTGACAAAGCGCACAGCCACAATACCCCCACCTGTGCTAGCAGCTAACCTGCCAACTTTGGAACTTTCCAGAACAGTGTTACTGGAATAAACGTATTTAGCCTTTGCCCCAAATTTTTCCTGTGTGTGTGTGTGTGTGTTGCAGGCATCAAATTCTAAATTTGTTAATATTTATTAAATGCAATTAACTTGGTCAGTGAAAACACTCAAAACCTTTTCTTTGTATTTTTGTCCATCAATAAAGGTTTAAGCATATTAACAAATCACAGATTTGAGTTTTTATTGCATTTTGGAGAATATCCTAACTTCTCTGGTAAAGGGGTTTGTATTATGAAATCAACATTAGTTGCAGCCCTGCTGACACACACAAAAGGTTTTGGCAGGGTGTACCTTGAGGAAGAGTGGGCACTGGTTCTGGGCGTGGGGGCAGGCCGACCAGAACCAGTCGGGCAGTGGTCCAGCCTTTGCTGTGGAGACAAAGTAGCCCAGAGCCATGGGCTGCTGCAGGATGTTCAGAGCCTCCTCATGCGACTCCATGCGGTCTGCACTCTGCCCCTGCAAGGCAACATGGGTGACGTGAATTAACAGTGCAATAAGAGTTTCATATTTATAAATCGCTTCCAGGCACATTTTTATGTTACTGATATCCTGTAACTTTGAGAAAAACTGCAAGTCACTGTAAGGTGGTGAAGCATAAGCTCAGGGCAAGTGGAGTAATTGTCCTTTATCCAGCACCACTTACATTGTTTGAGCTCCCTGGCACATATTTAAGTGTGATTTTATTCAATTAGGTCAATTCCATTCTCTCATTTCAAACCTCAGCCTTCATCTACAAGCAAAACACGACCAAGTTCTGTTACTTTCTGCTCCAGCTGAGGCTCACTGCATTGTGTTGAAGCCGCTTTATCTCAGCAGATAATGGGCAATGGGACACGAATCTGAAAACTTTTACTTCACCAGTTCCAAGGTATAAACAAACGCCACAGAATTAATAAGACTGACGAGGTCACTGTAAGAAAAAGGCTCTCAGCTCAGTTGCATGCAGGTAAATAATCTTAATGGTTTGTAATGGAATTTTAATATTGGCTTAATATCGGCTTGTTTTTTCATAGAGGAAATAAAGATGACGGACCTTGCTTCCATCTCCCCCCTGGTGGTAGTGAGAGCCAGGAGAGTGAACAGGGGAGGTAGTGGGGGAGTTGGGCAGGATGTTGATGAGGTCTGGATCCACCATGTCGTTGTCAAACAGGTCAAAGAGGCCCATTCCATCAGATCCATCTGCAAAGACAAAGAAAAATCTGTTTGGCTGTGGATCGCCTTTAAGCAGTCAACACTCAAGACTCAGTGTCTCAATGTTAAGCAACTGATTCCTATTGAAGGGGTGCATTTGTTTTGGCTCCGTCAGCTACAAACATACCAGGGTTTATGGGATTGAAGTTTATGTCGATGGGCTCTGAAGTGTTAGTGTTGACCTGCACCATGGCGGAGGTGGGGAACACCAGGATGTGTGTGCAGGAGGTGTCCTGAGGAGTGCTCAGCTGCGATGTCTGCATGTTCAATGTGGTGCTGCGACCAAACACTGAACCTGTTGACACAGAGTCTGCGGATACAAGATGGAGGAAAAGACACTCAGTGAACAGTTTATTATAATAATAAAACAAATCTGTACTTTGTTTGAGCTGTGTTCACCAGATTTAAACTAGTCAAACTGGACCAATAATGATAGAAAGCAAATAAGGATGAGACAGTTGAAGTCAGAAGTTTACATACACTTAGACTGAAGTCATTAAAACCACTCCACAGATGTCATGTTAACCTCTCCTTTTGGCAAGTCAGTTAGGATGTGTACATTAAGTTTAATTTAACAGCTGCTTACAGATACACTATTTCACTTATTCACTATATTAAGGTTCCAATGGGGCAGAGGTTTACATACAGTTAATTGACTGGGCCTTTAAACTGATGTCATGGCTTTAGAAGCTTCTGATTGGCTAACTGACCTCATCTGAGTCAATAGGAGGTGCAGCTGTGGATGTATATAAGGCCTACTTTCAAACTCAGTACCTCTTTGTTTGACATCATGAGGAAAAGCACAGCACTATGTCAACCTCACCACCACTGTGACACTCCATTTCCCCACCTGCCTCCTCTTCCCTTAATACTCAGTCCTCAGGTCCCCATAGAGCTGTCCACCCATGTGAAGAATTAAAACTTGCAGTACTATTCTGGATCCCATCCACACTTGCTAAGGACAGTCTCCCGGCTATCCCCCCCACTCCTCTCAGCCATCATTAACTCCTCTCTCTGTTCCCCAGCCACTCAAAGTAACTGCTCTCCAAAAACCTGGACTCAACCCCGATACTCCCAGCAATTCTCGCCCCATCTATAATCTTGCCTTTTTATCAAAAATAATGAAACACATTGTTGACTGTGTACTTAAAATCCACCTGAGGTCCAATAATCTATTTGAACTATTTCAATCTGGCTTCTGCACAGAGCACAGTACAGAAACATCAGTCCACAAAGTCACAAATGACCTCTTCCTCTCCTGTTCAGACTCTGGGCGCCTCAGCATTCTTATCCTCCTTGACCTCACTGCTGCTTTTGATACCAACAACCATGCCATTCTTCACTCCTGACTAGAATCCACACCATCACCAGTACCATCCTCTCTTCACTGATGTCAGATCTCATGGATAGACAACAGTTCATCAGCATCAACAACAGAACCTTGTACACTGCTCCTCTGTCCCAAGGCTCAGTCCTTGGAGCTCTACATATCCACCAAATCCATGGCCCCTGTTACCATCTTAGCCTGAACAAACTGCCTCACTGAAATCGAGGGTCAGATGAAAGCCAGTTTTCTAAAACTCAGCTGCTGAACTGAAGTCCTCCTCTGCTGGTGAAACTTTGATCCATGCTTTCTTCACATCCAGAACACATTACTGTAATAGCAATCTCTGTGGTGCACATATTACTGTAATAGCAATCTCTGTGGTGCATCATCCAAAGTCCTCATACTCCAGTACATCCAGAACTCTGCTGCTCACCTCCTCACACACTCCGGCTCCTGTGATCACACCACATCTGTCCCAAAGAACCTCTATTATACACCTGTCCTACATCGCATTCCATTTAAAATCTGTCTCCTCACTCACAAAGCCGTAACCAGGTCTTTCCTACTTCACTAACCTGCTTCATTGCCACACTCCGTCCCAAAGCCTTCGCAACTATGAATGTTCTGTCACCCCTAGTCAGGTCCAAGCACCAGACCTGGGGTGACGGGGTTTTTCTGAAACGCTCTCCCCAGACACATTTGAGACTGCACTGATATGCCTACATTCAAGAAATTAATCAAAACACACCTTTTTAGAACTGCTTTTGATGTCTGCTAAATTATCCTTTGCTTCCTCCTGCTTGAGGAAGAGGTCTTGGATTTGTTTTGTTTCTATTATTTCAATCTTGTTCTGTTAAGTGTCTGAGTAATTTGAAAAGTATTCTATAAATAAAATGCATCATATATACACACCACACATTTGTCAGTATCCACTTTTCAAGACCTACAGATAGACTGTCAAAGTATGTTTGTCATTTGCTGTTACCTGGCATGATGACAAAGGAACCTTGGGGCTCCATGGCAACCAGACAGGCGCTAAGGATGCTGGGAGTGTCAGCAGCAGAGATGCCACACATCCTACAGGTCTCCTTCAGACGTTTACTGAGGGACTGCAAGTTCCTCCTGCTCAGCAGGATACTCCAGTCTGGGACAGGGACAAAATATGAACACATTAGTGGATGAAGGAGTCTCTGCAACTTGGCCAACTAAAGCTCAAACTGGTGCATCGATGGACTGGACAACTTGAGCCTGGATCAGGAAAGAAGCACACAGCAATCCTGGGAGCTTTTAATGAGGTGCATCAACTAATGTCATAACATAAAACATGTCATCAGAGTAAGAAGAGCCAGCGGTGGTGCAGACGTTTAAAATGCCTGTGTTCGCCTAATAGCTGTCCCCTATAACAAACTGGCTGTTGCTGACATCTAGCCAATGCTGTAATGTTATCATCGAGATGATTAGGAAACAGCATACAATGTCTCAGAACATAAAAAAACCAAATTCATTTCCAGTGTATTTTTTGTTCTTTGAATCCCATGTGCTCCAGTCCACCTTTTGGGTTTGTGTTTGTTCATAACTGCATGCTATACAAACATTGCAGTAATACGTGTGTACCTCTCAGCTCGCCGTGGCCCATTCTACCAAGCCGACCAATGACCACCCTCCACGGCAGCGATGTCACCTGCACCAGGCTGAGGCACCACTCCCAAAGCTTCTGCAAACCCAGTCGTCTGGCTGAGCCCTTTTTCCTGCGAGCCCTGTGAAAACGGCACAACGTTGCAAATATATACTGACAAATTTATGAACGACTAAATGCTGTGGGACTCGTATCTTGTTTATGCATTTTACTGCCACATACCTGTTGGGTACATCAATACTGATGATGCAGGTCTCCAGCAGTTCTCCGTGTTGGTCAGTGCAGGACGCCAGCAGCCAGCGCTGGTCATGGGACAGACAGTAGCTGACAAACAGGATGTTGTACTTCTGGGATGCTTCACCAAACGTCTCCCCGAGCTCCGTTTGCTTGTCTTTCACTGGAGCCAAAATGAAGGGTGGAGTGTACAGGAGCA